GAAACAGCGAGAACGGCGGCTGACAAAACCACTCGAATCCTTCGCGCCGTTTTTCACTGGGTAGTCAAAACGATTAATTTAACAGTTTCCATGCCAGCAATTCCTTTACCTGCCTGGCACAGTCGAGCCACTTTTTCCTCAATTTAGAAACATGGCGCGCGAAAGGAAAAACGATCGCATTTTCACGATCGATTCGGTGAATTAACAAAACGCCATTAAGAAAATTGTTTCTGCTTCGCTTTGTTCCGATTACTTTCCCGAGAAACGGAACGAACTTTCGGGTCACGAGAGAATTACGGCTTCCCTACGCCACAATGGCGCCCCCTGCGCGACGGTGCTGCCCTCATCCTGTCTCCATTCGTTCCTTTACAGTCGGGCGTATCAAACTGGTCCAGAAGTTTTCATAGCGGATTACATTGACTCAAAGTCACACGGAAATACAGTGGTGCCCGCTTTAGTATCCAAATTTTCGCGTCCATTGTTATGCCCGCGAATTCTTGGAAATGAGATCTTGAAGTTAACCTCAAACCGATTGCGATGAACTACCGAACAAAATTTACCTCCTATCTTTTTCGATTGCTACAGGTATTCGTATTTATCCTTTCTCCTTCATCGAAATTGACGATTCCGTGGCGGCATTATTCTCGCCCACACCGCTAGATGGATTCCAGGTTGAAGATGGTTCGAGGATTTTCTCGCAAGTCTTCAGTAAACTCTCCACTTCCTATATATAGAATTTCCAGACTTCCTAATTGTATCCTTGCCTGAGGCAGGGCCTGTTAGATAGCAACCAAAAGTTGTATAGTTTTCGTGCCTTTTCTATACATAGGAAAACCCGCATACTAATATAAGATAGTCTTAAGTTTATATTACCCTATAGTGATAAGCGCGGTAGATTAAGTCTGATTCTAGATCGCGAGTGCTTCACGCTGGAGCCATCGATCACATAGTCTAAATTTTCATTTGTAACCCTTTGCACGTTTTGGTTCTTTTATATGTATATTATTGTATCTAGTTTTTGGCGCATTTAACGTATGCTAAATTGGAATTGGAATTGGCTTATTAACAGTAATAAAGAGTCCCAGTAACAGGCCCGGGACCAAACGCATCCCTTGCTTTCCCCCTTCGTTCTTTTACCACTACCCTCCACAGCAGCACAACAACCACCATCAACAATGGGGGAGGATCTCCATAATTCAATTACACTCAAGGAAAAACCATTTTCCCACATAAGTGTCCGGATTCGGTCCCGACTGGGGACGCTAAAGCAGGCAGTACTGTATTCAGTGGTACCCATTGGGACTGTAGGGAGGGAGATGGTGGTCCTGCCCTACGGTTGAAGTTCTGTTAGCGATTGTACTACTGGCGTCAGATAGCGTTGGAAGCGATAAACAAAAAAAGAAAGGGATGCGTTTCGTCCCGGGTCTGCTAGTGGGACTCATACCTAATAGGCCCTGCCTCAGATTGGGATACCATTGCAACTTCCTTAACCTTGGAATCCATCTAGTGACGAGAAATGAAAATGGCGCCGCCACGGGGCTTGTAATTTCCACTAGACATAAATTCCATCGGGCGTATTCCATCGTTCGTACTTGGTGATCTTCGTAGCGATGGAAAGTCCCTAGCCTAGTTACTTTCCCTGATCCGCAGTTGATTCTTGTAACGAAGAGCGATCGTCCCGCAAACTCGGGAAGGGCAAGATTAATCGACCACCGGGATAATCATGGCGGATCGATTAATTAACCTCGTGCGGCGTCCCGACGCCGAGGCCAGGTTCAATTTTCATTTCTCCCTAACGGGATTACCGCTTCTTTCGAGACCCGTGAATCGTGGACGAGATGTAATAACGCGAGACAGTGCGTTTCACGGTGGGAATAAACTTCTGAATAATGGATGAACCCGCGAGCGTGTTACGCTCTTTAGAACAACAGAAAACAGGGTTACACTGTTATGTTCGCGATAGCGTGGCTATACACTATCGTGTCGTTTATCGCGAAATTTGTTCTTGCAAACTGACGCAGTTAATTTCTGATGCACGTGGCGCCACATGCAGATCCACCGGAATCACGATCTTCAGGGATACTGGTTAGATTAAATCTCGCGATCACATAGTAATACGTTCTTCTGGAGTTTGCTTTGAATTTGGAAATCCTGTGTCTAGATAGACACGTGGTCGATTATGGTTGTTTCTATTTTAGTTTTGGTCGATTAACGGGAAATCGATAAAAACATAGTACTACGTGTTTTGCATTTAGGATATCTCGATAAGTGTGCTTCGAATTTGGAAATCCTGTGTCTAGGTAGACACGTGGTAGTCGATTATGGTTGTTTCTATTTTAGTTTTGGTCGATTAACGAGAAATCGATAAAAACATAGTACTACGTGTTTTGCGTTTAGAATACCTCGATAAGTGTGCTTCGAATTTGGAAATCCTGTGTCTAGGTAGACACGTGATAGTCGACTATGGTTGTTTTTATTTTGATTTTGGTCGATTAACGAGAAATCGGTGAAAACATAGTACAACGTGTTTTGCGTTTAGGATGCCTCGATGAGTGTGCTTTAAATTTGGAACCCCTATAGATAGACACGTGATTTTTATTTTATTTTTTATTCTTTACACGTGCTTCACGTTTAGAATGCCTCGATGAGTTCGCAGCTGCAGAAATGTATGAGAAAATATCGTGAATTAGTTATGGTGTTATATTCTTCCCGAGGCTATAGTACAACGTGTTTTGCGTTTAGGATGCCTCGATGAGTGTGCTTTAAATTTGGAACCCCTATCTAGATAGACACGTGATTTTTATTTTATTTTTTATTCTTTACACGTGTTTCACGTTTAGAATGCCTCGATGAGTTCGCTGCTGCAGAAATGTATGAGAAAATATCGTGAATTAGTTATGGTGTTATATTCTTCCCGAGGTACTGACAAATTGTTAAGAACGTAGTACTACATTTTCCTTAGCGTTCCACGTACACCTTCGTGTTGTGGTAACTATACATTATTCGTGCACCACGTAGAGGTGATTTTGCTACGAATTTTCAAGTACACGTGACATTAAAACGTACAACTTTTCGCGAGGTATTTCATGCTGCGGAAAATTCGTACATAATTTGTAGAAATCAAGTAGTACGTGGTTCGGTAATTGTATTTAATTCGTAGTTCGCATAAGAATTCGTTTATTCTGAATTTTCCAAAATACTGTGAAATGCATTATTCAGAAATTATTGCTCACCCGGTATTACTCTCTTTGCTTCTGAGAATTTTGAGATATCTAAGAATCGAGAGATATCAAGTAAAATATTACTAGTCCGAGTATGGCATTTCTTGACTGTTTTAATATGATATAAATAAAAACATGATGCAGTAGAACATCGATTATGTGAATTTTGATTACTCGAATCATCGATGATCTGAATATAGTGCGAGTCATGTGATGTAAAATTGAAATTAATCACGGGATTAATCACGGTTAGTACATAATATACCCTAGTTTGATGACTATTATGACAGCCATGAATGGACAAAAATAAAAATAATTCAGAATATAAAATTTATCTACTATATGGCACCCTGTGTTGCGTTGCAATGGTTAGAATATGAAAATAGAGTAGAAGCTGCACAAATGACTATAATTCACATTTTACCCCGTGTTTCTCTCATTATACGTGTACTCTCCCACGCAAAAGATATTTGCAAAATTTGTAATTTCTAGCTGATTTATGACGCACTTCAAAATTTGCTTCTTTCCGGCCAATTAGCAGGAAAGCTGATTATCTGAACGGATTTGCCTCCCATATTAAAATTATTATTTTAATTATTAAATTAATTATTATTAAATTAAAAAATTAAATAATTAAAATTATTAAATTCTAATTAATCTGCTAAATTCAAAAATATTAGAATTATGTGAATAATTATGTGAAAGTATTATAAAATATGTGAATGCGTGTATATTTATTGTGCCTTGACAACATTAAATTGAACAATTTAAGTTTTTAATTCTATTGGGATTATGAGTTTATAATTGTAAAATAATTACTATATATATATTCTCTTTTAAATTCTTTTATTACTCAAGGAAGGTATATTTTTCTTTGAGTGCTTCTGTAGAACGATTGACATGTTAAGAGGGTACGTAAAGCAGTTTGTTTAAACCCCCAATTCTTATTCAATGTTTATATAAATACATATTCGTTCTCGGAATCTATTATAAATAATCTGTTATAAACTATTTATTCGCACCTTATATCCTAGATTGATTTTTGTATATAATTAAACTTATGTTTTCAACAAATTCCTTTAAACAAATAAATGTTTACGCAAGATACGTAATAGAATCTAATTCATGGTGAAGAAATAGAAAAACTAACAGCCAGAATACCACAACTCGTAAATGCGATTATAAAATAATTTAATAAAAACACCCGATGGACATATTAATGAGAAGAAAAATAATTATTAATTATTGAATTATTGGTTAAACGCGTTCCCTAATATCATACAAATTAGCATACATGAAATTTAATCGAGTTTATAAGATTTCATAATTATTTTTAAACAGTAGTAAGAGTTAAGTCCATGTCCACATACTTTTGAGCGGCACTGTACCTAACATGGCGGATATTTAAGGAACGATGGCCAATCAAAGTGGAAGATTTCCTCTCAAAGGACCTAGAAAGTTTATCCTAAGGTCGGAGAAAACGCTTAAAATCGTTTTTCGATCCAGTAACAAACGTAACTTTCCGTCTCTTCGATGTTTCGTGTGGCCAAGCGAGCAACCGTTCCAAGCCAACTTTCTTAATATGAACTTCCGAATCTGAGAAACTTTCCTACCACATTAAGCATCATCGCAAATCCTTCAGCTTTAAGAGCGCTGAAAACCTTTCTTTCTTTGAAAAAAAAAAAAAAGAGAGAAGAAATGCAAGATGGGAGGAAAAGTCATGAAAGAAGCCAGCAAGAGTGCTTCGGGAAGAAAATGTGGAGGTTATTTATGATTTACCTGATGACTTCTTCGACTGCCGCGAAGGCTGAGCCGGTGGCTCCACTCGTGCTTAGGCAACTCCACGCCGTATTTCTCCATGTTGACTCTTTCTCTTCCTGTCGCGGCCGAGGAGCCCTTCCGACCAGTAAAACACCGTTGCCTGCTACTCCATGCTTCTCCTGATAAGCAGAAAAAGCTATTCTCAATCTTTCCGCGTCATAGCTCTCCCAGAAAGAGCTATTCTCAACGTTTCCACGCTATAGTCCTCCGCTAAACGTTCCACCTCCTTCTTTTCCTTTTCACGAATATCGAACTATGCAACGGGAATTTCTCACGACTGCTTTCCCCTTTTTTTTCCTCTCGCAAGAATTCAAAATCGACTCACAGCTAACTTTGATCTGATTTCTCGACTTTTTCCAGCTTCTTACTCGGGATATTTTTCAGAAACCAAGTGTCAGATGAAGAAACGATACTCTTTCTTCTCGCTTACCTTTGTGTACCATGATTTTTGACATACCTTGTATAGCGACTGTTGAGATTCTTCAATCGGAATGTAACTTTGATATATTTTTAGTTGAATACGACAGTATGCGGGTTAAGAAAATGTTTAGGATATATATATTTACGAATTTAAACATTTATTTGGTGTTAAGGTGTTTGTATTTACAAGATGCATATGTTTTACGTGTTTCAATAAGAGCGAAAATTATTTTCTCTAAACTGGCAATGAGTCGTTTCGAAGGAGTTAGTAATCTCAGTGTTAAGGAGGTAGATATACGGATTTTAAAAATTCATAGAAAATTATTGGAAGAAGGTAGCCGTGTAAATTTTTCTCAGACATTACTTTTAACATTAAACTACTTGTAAAAGAATTTAGGTAAAAAATATCAAAACAGAAATGTCCGGAAAAAATCTTGAATTAAGCGTCTGCAAAATGGAGCGGCCCATGATGATGGACAAGATACAGCACGGAGAAAAAATCTGCAAAGGATGAAAAAATGTGGCGAGTAAAGGCAAACAACGTGACTATCGCACTGACCACAGATAACAAATTTAGAGCTTCGGGCAAGTTCAAAGAAAAATCACGAAGTCGAAGATGATAGAAAAAGACAAACTGTTTCTAAGAAACAATTTTATTGAAAAATTTTTCGAATTTTTAGATTCCCTGTCAGTGGTTAGTGTCAGAGCCACGTGTCTTTGACACACGCTCAAAAAATTTCACAGCGATTGGAACTTCGGTTCTTTCGTTATGCTGTCAACCATGGTCAAAAGCGGTGTTCAGAGAAAATTGAGATTGAACATTCGGATGACAAAAATGTTTGCTCGAGTCAAAGTCAATTCCGTGTACTCTCTAGCAAACTAAAGGCGTTGTAGTGATGCGAGGTTCTCGAATTTCGACTTCGCATTTTTCGCACTCGACGCAGAAAAGAACGGAGAATTTTTTAAGATAAAAATAAATCGATTTTTTAAATGTTACATACGGGTCTGCTTCCTTAAAGAGGCTTACACTTTTCTGACTATTGAACGGAAAATGGAATATATCTTTTTCTTCCAATTTTTCACAATTTTTAGAACAGAGTCTTTGCTGAGTTTATTTTAAGTTTACGGATAACAAAATATTTTTATCCAAAAGTTTATGCAACTAGAATAATAAAGGAAATTGGTATAGCTTCTAGGGAATTTATCGGCAATTTGAAATAATATTATACAGGTAGTAAAATGTGATAGAAAATAAGAACGTATTAGCGTATTTACAACTAAGAAGAGTGTTTCCCATTTTTGTAGACTTCAGGTGGAGATGCTATACCAACGCTACTTCTTGCGGATGAATCAAAGCAACATGACGCATGTCTTCGGCCTACTAGCAGGGTTGACCCTCGCTCTGGGTGTGCTTCTGGTATTGAGAATCATTCAGGAAGGCAACCAACAATTTCTGGATACTTTGGAAAGATCGGAGAACCTATCTCTAGCGGTCACGTTGGTCGTCTGCGTTGCAATTTACGCCGGTGAGTATCACAGAATTATCTCCGTCTAATAAGAACAAAATTCACTGAAAACCCTCACTGATCGTTCATCTTTTAAACGAAACTATCTCATTACCATAAACGCTGTATCAAAGATTCGCTAACTGGGAAAATCAACGAACAACCAGACCTCTGAGAATAAAAATGATATATTATATATCAAAACACTCAACGCAGCAAAGGACGGATGATTTTCTATAGCGGTAAAGAAAAAATTCCATTTTTTGAAGGTTACATACTGGTTCGCCCCCTTATGGAGCGATCAGGGCTTATCACTGCTCGTGCGAGATGCTTGGTCCACCTTGAGCAGAGCCTTTCTTGGCTCCAACTCGCCTCCTCACTGCTTGCACTGAAATTGCACGCCCTGCCAACACGAAAATCGAATTTCTGCACGTATAACATAATCACCTGCGACGTGGAACAAGTGGAGACGTATTGTGTTCGATCGCAACTGGTTCCGGTTCAGCTGGTTCCCTTGACACGTATTATTACGTCGAGTAATCGAATCGTGTGCGTTAATGGCGGAGCAGGTTACACGCGAGGAATCTAACACACGATGAAAACGTAGGTTTTCCTTTTCTTTTCCAGTCGATTAGGAATTTACTCGGCAATTTTCTTATTCCAGGTATCATAAAAGAGAGGAATGCTGGCAGCGTTACGTTCGTTTCACAAAACTGAGGACGTCCTATTTAATTTGGATCGTTCATGCGGAACTTGAGGAAAGGCGGAAGAAAAACTGGCTTTTTCCCAGAATTTTCGCGAAAATTTACCATCCTATCCCGGGGAACACGATGGAAAACGATTTCATCGTATGTTCGACCGTGACCTTCCACTTTCGGAAATTTGCAATGTTGCCCGGAAATGGGTCGGCGGCGATTTACCTGTAGACGAAAACGCTGCGAATTTTCGCGGTCCTTTGGTCGGAGCAGAAACAAATTTGCGAAAGCAATTTCACGCGTGATTGCCACGAACCGGAGCTGTTTTTGCTAGTGAAAAAGAATGGTAGATGTGCGTTTCATCGGCGCGCTATTAAAAGGTTTAGAACATTGTGGAAATCCGAACGAAAATGGAGGCGTGATGGACGATACTGGTGTCTGAAAAAAAAGGCGAGAAAAATGGTAAAATTCGGTGAAATAATAAGAAAGGCAACGATGGTAAAGATGGTAAAAATAACATGGACCATCAAGCTTGTAAAAATAACAAAAGTAACGTAGATGAGAAAGTTAATACAAATCATAAGATGATAAAGATGGTAAAATTGGCAGATATAATCAAACTGATGAAAATGGTAACTTTAATGAAAATAAAAAAGCTGATAAGTATGACAAAAGTTGAAAAATATAATTTAAAAATATAAAATATAATTGGAGCATCCCATAAAAATGACATGAATAATGAAGCTAGTAAGAATGGCAAAAACAACGAGGATGACAAAGTTAACAAAGATCATGGAGATGGCAAATATGGTAAAGATAAAAATAATGAAAATTACAAAAATGGTAAAAGTAATAAAGTAAAAGTAATAAAAAAAAAATGGAAAAAGGTAAAAAAGATAATGAAATGGACCATTTATTTTGAAAATGCTGGAAGTTCATTTTCTGTTGTTTGGAGCAAATTAAAAGTTAGCATGTAGTCAATTCATAAATATAAATTAATTATGTCAAATCTGACAATGTTTCTACTAATTTATCAATATATTTTTTTATTATATAAATTTAACTAGTAATATATATTACATTTACTTCTATTTTCCAACTTTAAATTGAACAGAGCATTAATTATATCAAGTCTGACAATGTTTCCACTAATTTATCAATATGTAATTTTATTATATAAATTTAACTTAAATAATATATATTTACTTTTATTGGCCAATTTTAAATTCAACAAAGCATTGGCATTTTTCAAAATATTAAATACTAACCAGTTATAAATAACAAGTTTGCAGCATATTAATCACAAATTATGTGATATCTCATTTTTTTTAAATTGGATTTATACCACTTTCAAAATAAACGGTCCAAATAATAAAATATCGAAACAATCGAAGTTCTTTTCTTTTGTGTCTCTCTCTCTCTTTCGAATGTGAAGGATGACGACCGTGTCTCAACAGTGGGTTTATACGAATCGTTGCTTTACTGCCTCTAATTTGGCCAAACAATGGAATTTAAGTCTCAATTATGTCTCGGCCAGGCCTCGCTTTACATAATTCTCTATAAACGATTGTATCGATTCTTCACCCTCGAACGTATTGGACGATGCTAAACAACGCAATTTTCCCAATGGGTTCGTTGTACCATACTGCTTCCGTTATGAACAATTTGGTAAATTCCTTAGAATTTCATTTTCTTCCATCCCTTAACAAACAACGAATTCCTTTATAATTCTCTTTCGTAATTCTACGCCATTGTTCTGTATATCTCTATGTATATTTGTATAAATTTAAAAAATCCATTCCTATAATGTCTCCATTCGTTTCGATGCCTCTAATCATTTTTAAGAAACTTCCGATTATTGCCTTTTCCTCTTCCCTTGTCGCATCGGAAAGTTTCATCGCGATGTGGAAATTGGAAAATAAATTATCCATACAAATGACACGAAAGCCATTTGCTGGACAAAGCTAATGTCTATACACCCTAGTCTAGGTCGTTGTCAACGAAAATCGATTCGAGACAGGCAGTGCGCATTAATTTTTTACGCGACTTCATTTCTCATTGTGCAACACCATTTGCAAGCAGATCGCAGTTTCTCCTCACTTTGAAAAGGAAAGATAGGTCGAAAATGGTACCAATGCGAGGAAGGTAGTTGGGTATTCTTCGATACGTCGTTGACGAAGTGTTAACGGAGAAAAGGTAGGGGAGAAAAAGTGTATACAGGCCTGATCCATTAGGTCGAGGCTCCAAAGCGGAAATAAAAATAGAAACGGAACGAACTTGTTAGCTCTGTCTACTTATTTCCCTCTTCGTTATTATTTTCATCCTATTTCTGTAACGCTTGCCCCCAGCGCGTGTTCGTCATTTTTCACAGATACTCCATTATTATTCATTTATCTTCCATTGAATAATCTATTTTCTCGAGAAAACTGACACGTATCTTCCTTTTTCAGCTGAAATGCGAAAAAATTCATCCACCTGAAGATTGATCATTTCTCGTCT